TCATAGTATTGCATTGGATGTTCACAAAAAATAATTTTTAAAATTAGTCAGGGCTAGACCGGGTGCAGTGGCTGAAGCCTATAACCCCAGCACTTTGGGAGGCCCAGGCGAAAGGATTGCCTGAGTCTAGGGGTTTGAGACCAGCCTGGGCAACCTGGTGAGACCTCACCTCTAAAAAAATAAATAAGTAACTCCAGCCTGGGCAACAAGAATGAGACTCCAATTCAAAAAATAATAATAATAAAATAAACAAAATAAATAAATAAATAAAGATTAGCCAGACATGGTGGCACAAGCCTACAGTCCCTACTTAGGAAGCTGAGGTGGAAGACTGCTTGAGTCCAGGAGTTTGAGGTTGTAGTGATCTATGAGATCTGTCTCTAAAAACATTTTGTTTAGCCGGACTCGGTGGCTCAGCCTGTAATCCCTCACTTGGGGAGACTGAGGTGAGTGGACTGCCTGAGTCAGCGGGTTCAAGACCCGCCTGGGCAACTTGACGAGACCTCATCTCTACAATAAATCAAAAATTAGCTGGGCGTGGTAGCGCGCACCTGTAGTTCCAGCTACTTGGAAGGCTGAGCGGAAGGATCACCGGAGCCCAGCAGGTCGAGGATGCGGTGGCCGGGAACGGCCACTGCACTCCAGTCTGGGTGACAGTGAGACTCCAACTCAAAAAATAAAAAAATAAAAAAATAAATAAAATTTTGTTTAATAAAATAAATACGTAGGAAGCATCCACAGATGGAGGATGTGTCACAACTATGTGCCCCAAATGACATAACTGCAGCTGATGATTATTTATGAAAACTACTGAGTAGACTGTAGTCTCAGTCTCAGCAGGAGCAGCCTGTTTCTTAAGGGCAATGCCCAGTCAACATGGGTCAGCATGGATTAAGCACGGAGGGCATCTGCAGCTCCATACCAGCCCACAACATCTGACATCCTCCTGTCCAAGATGCCATCACAGGGAGAAGGCCTGCACCCTGGACTACCTGAGCCTCACCCTTATCGACACGCAGCAGTCACTAGCTTTAAGAAAGAACCAAGCCGGGCTCAGTGGCTCAGCCTGTAATCCCGCGCCTTTGGGAGGCTGAGGTGAG